CCCCAAAACCCCAAAACCCCAAAACCCCAAAACCCCTACAATTTATAAAATTATTGGATGAAATCTAAAGCTTTAAAAAGGATATCAATCTTAAAAAATCACGTGTCTGCAACTCAGCCAGCCGAAGTTACAATTGTAGGAGGAGCTGCAGTAGATGTTATTGCTAGAACCAAGGATATTGCAAAGATTAACAACTCGAACATTGGGTTCGTAGACATAAAATATGGAGGAACTTCTAGAAATGTCTCCGAATGCATCACAAGACTTGGATTTGGATCCAAGCTTAAATTCATCACTTCTATTGGCAAGAACGATAGCTTTGGACATTTACTTAATAAGTCCTTCGATGATCTTAAAATGAGAAAAGATGGGATCCACTACAGCGCAGACTTCCCAACGGCTGTATTTTGAGCAGTCATAAATCCTTCAGGAGGAATGGAAATTGGAGTCAATGATATGGATTGTCATCCAAATCTTCCAATTAGCCACATTAAACTGCAAGAAAAAGATATCTCCTCTTCGAAAGTAGTCTTAGTAGATACCAACGTCAGTGAAAATGCTATTTTAGAGACTCTCAACTTGGCTAAAGAAGTGAAATGGACCATTGTCGAACCAATATCATTAGAAAAATAGCTCTAAAGTTGCTTTCAAAAATATCCTTCCCTTGATTTCAATTCTAAAGCCAAACGATGATCAATTTGAAGATGTGTACAATCTCTTTAAAAGCTATGTTTCCACAAAGGTCTCTAGATTTACTACGAAAGAGGAAGAGTTGCTTGCAAAATCTGAGATAATTTTTGAAGCTTCTAAAGTGCTAAGTGAGAAATACAATTGTGCTGATAAACTGAAGTATATTGTCATAACTTGAGGAAAAGATGGGGTAAGACTAGTCTCAAGGAGTAAGTATCAAATGTTCTAAATATATAGGCCCTCTCAAGCATTATCATTTTGAAGCTGTAGATGTTAAAGTGATTAATGCTGTGGGAGCTGGAGACACTTTCTGAGGGGGACTAATCTCTGGATTACTCCATTACAAACAAGAAGGGATAGAAATGCTATCATCTGCAATCAAGCTAGGGATGAGATGTTCTACCTTAACAATCCAGAGCACTGAAAATATTGCTCATGAAATTTCAAAAGATTTATTGTAGGTTCTTTCAGAATATTTCAATACATATTTTTAATCTCGGGGTTTTGGGGTTTTGGGGTTTTGGGG